GGAATTGTTTGTCAAGTAGCAACATTCAGTATATGGTCAACATTTTTACCTACAAGCCATACTTGCCCGGAAGTCCCTTTTTGACTTATTTACGGCGGACAAAACATAGTCTTGCTAGTGGTTCTACACTATCCTTCAAATTTGAACGTACATACTCTTCTTCCAGGGCAGAGATAAAAGTCCCTATGCTACATCGCCAATTGCAAAGAGATCAGCTTGATCGAACTTATACTTGAATTCGGATGACACCCCTGTGGAAATGTCTCGAGTGGGGAAGGACAAAACCCGTTTAAACGGGTCAGAGATAAGGGGACTGGTCATCGACAAATCTCTAGACCGGCTCTTTCTCCTGCTTGTGTGACCGTTGGTTGCAGAGAAGATGTAACCAGTTCACTGCCGACCAGAGCTGCACACAGAGATCTCCAGTGAATCTTTTTAAGATCCTGAGTTCTTGGGCACTTGCGGTGGAAACACAGTTTCTTTCCGACTAACAGAGACGGCCCACCCCATAACAAAGAAACAGAATTTCCAGAGGATGAGGCCCAGAAATCAGGATTTTAAAAAGATTCCCAGGTGATTCTAATGTGCAGCCAAGGTTGAGAACCACTGGTCTAGAGTCTCCTGAGTCCTTTCAGCAGATATGGGAAGGAGCGAGGTCACTTTTCTTATGTCTTAGAAATAAACGGATGGCTCTCCCAAGTGTCTGCTTTGACTTTCAGTCCGAACATACCTGTCCTTTCCTGGTTTCTGAAGGAACTGGTTTCTCGGTTGCTTTCTGTTACTGTTTGCTTCTCTTAACCACTTGTTGGTATTTACTTGGAGAATTTTCTTGTTAACTCTGCTGATCCTTCCATGTAGCTTTTAGAATCATGCAGCCTTCCCTTACTTTCTGGCTTTCTTGTGGCTGAAATAGATGGAGCATTCTTAAATGACCATAAAGGAGGTGTTCCTTTTCTTTTGAAAGGAAACTAATCTATTAAAAGCATTTTATGCTTTTCCAAAGGGTCTTTTAACAAAAAAGGAAGGTCACTGATAATGTTTGAGTTTATATTTTAAATTTAAGATTAGATATCTTAAGTTTAAAGAGTGGACTCTTAAAAATGTCTAGTTTATTTTGTGCAACTAATACACAAGCACAAATTGCACTTAATTTGTTGTTTTTCTCCTAGAATCTGTATATATAATTTGTGATTAAAAATTACTGGTAAATTGACTGTTACAAAGATTGTCTTTTTCCAAAACGAAATTTTGTTAGGTATTTAAACAAAATTACATTTTTATTGATTTTAGAGAGGAAGGGAGAGGGAGAGAGAGATGGAAACATCAATGATGAGAGAATCATTGATCAGCTGCCTCCTGCACACCCCTCACTGGGGATCGAGCCCACAACCCAGGCATGTGCCCTTGACTGGAATCGAACCAGGGACCCTTCAGTCCGTAGGCTGATGCTCTATCCACTGAGCCAAACTGGTTAGGGCTTGTCAGGTATTTTAAAGGCAAACAGAGCAAGCCAAAACCAAAATAAATGCTTGTTTAGTCTGTAGTGTTAAAAAATGCTTATTGCTCTGAAGAAATAAGAAACTTTTATTAGACCTAGAAATCTGTCACAATTTAGCTTGGTAATGTAGTAAATTCACTGCTTAGAATTGTTTTTTCTTACTAGATTTTATAAAAGAATATCACTTGTACCATTTTGGGAGATTTGGCAGATTTCATGAACTACCTTGGTAACTGATGTGGCAGTTTTATACCAGCTAATGTGACTATCTGTTGGGTCAATTAAATTCTTGTTTTTCATCTTTCCAATTAAAAGGTCATTGCAAAATGATAATTGTAAAAATTCAGATAACACAGAAATATGTCATATAAGGCAAAGTCCCGCCGAAACTGGTTTGGCTCAGTGGATAGAGCGTCGGCTTGCGGACTGAAAGGTCCCAGGTTCGATTCCGGTCAAGGACATGTACCTGGGTTGCGGGCACATCCCCAGTAGGAGATGTGCAGGAGGCAGCTGATCGATGTTTCTCTCTCATCGATGTTTCTAACTCTCTATCTCTCTCCCTTCCTCTCTGTAAAAAATCAATAAAATATATTAAAAAAAAAAAAAAAAGGCAAAGTCCTTGTAGTCCAATCCCTGTGACTTAGGTTCTTTGAGAGTTCTACTGTATCTGATAACATGTTAGTAATAATGATAATACATATTTTATTTTGAGAAGTTACTCCCAGATAAAATGTGCCTGTCATTTGGGGCCATCACTTTACAGCCCCTGTTCAGTCTTCAGTCTCTTTAAGATGCCTAGTGTTGGATACTATGGATAAACCATAATTAATTGCCCTATTCTTAATTGATGGGCATTTAGTTTTTATATTTTATTTTTGTAGTGTTTCAGTGAATATCTTTCATATGCATTTTTAGATCTTTTGATTAATTTTGTAGGAAAAGTTCCTAGAAATAGAATAAGGAGGTCAAGAGAATATGCATATTTAAAATTTTAATAGAGATTACCAAATTGCCCTTCAAAGGTTTCACCTTTACATTCTTACCAGCCATTTATGGGACTGTTTATGTTCCCAACATCATATGTTATCATCTTTTAAATATTTGTCAGTGTGATAGCTAAAAAGTTATTACAGTTTGTTTCTTTGCCTTAATTTGATTCTTTAGTGTGGTTGAGTATCTGTTGTTTATGTTTCTTTTATGAATTGGCTTATGAATTGGCCTATTATGGTCTTGGATCTTTTGAAATTAGCTTGGATTTTTTTTCTTAAGATTTTAAGGACTTCTTGTATATTATAAATACGTAATAGTGTTTAATCATCTGTTTTGTAGGCCCTCCGCTCCCCATGTTTTGATGTTATCTCTGGTATAATTTGGTTATGCAGAAGTTTTAAATGTTTATGTAGTTAAATTAGAATTTCTTCTTTTGATTTCTTTCTTTCTTAAAGGCTTAGAAAGTCTTTTTCCACTTCAAAATTATAAATTATCTGTCTGTCTTTATTTTTACTTTTGTTTTCATTTTTATATTTTATTATCATTTAACCCATCAGGAATTTCCTTTGGCATAGTGAGTGGGGATTTGATTTAAAAATTTTTTCTATTTAGCTTTATAGTTGTTTCAACACTATTTAATGAATAACCAGTGAATGATTATAAAGCAGTTATAAATCTGTTTTACAAATTGCATCCTGATTGGTGGTCACCTGAGCAGGTTTACCACTTGAGTAAGGACTGGTGCTTTTTCCCATGGGACTCCGGCTGGCTGACAGTCTTGCTTCTCTTTAACTGGGGCCTCTACTGCTCTATAGTGTTCAACCCCATGCTCACTCATGGAAGCAAGACTTCACAGGGATTGTGTTGCCACAGCTTATGAAAACCAAGGACTTGTATAATACTCTTTGTACTGTTTCTTAGTTTTTGTGGGTTTCTTGTTTGTTTGTTTTTCCATGAAGGAAATGGTCTTATTTTCCACTCACAGGACTGTTATTGGGTTAGGTACTTGAGTTTGCATGAAATGGATAAACATGGCTCTGTTACTTGCTTCATGTTTTTTGTTGAGTTTTTTTGTAGTTTTATCAACTTATGTCCTGTGACTATTGTTCTGTTTCTGATCTCCAGTATTTTAACAAAACTGCAGATTATGAGGAGGTGATATACCCCAATAGCCCCCCTCAGACCCAGATTCCATTGGGTTTTAACAGTTAATATATTCACTAGGTGTATATATTTATGATCTCTTTCATTGAGGATCAGGTGTCTGAAGTTAGGATGCAGAAAAGAGCTTTAAGTGTCTAAATTTCCTGAGTTTGTATTCCAAATGTTATGTGTTCTATGTTAAATGCTACATATGGCTTCCCCTCTCACCCCCCAGAAGTGTAAGAACTGACACTTATAGGACATCTATCATGCTTATGTGAACTCGGGGGCAAGAGTCTTAATGCTGCAGGGTAGAGGTTGTCTCCCCAGCCAGATGGCTCTGCAACATAAATATTTAATAACAAAATAGAAATAATTTACACGCTGGAGTGAACCACTCCTTAATTCCTTAGCTCCAACAGCTTTTAATTAGTTGTTTGTATTAAATGCATCCGTGTTGATCAGGATTTTTTCTTTGAATTTTTATTTCTGACACTCTCCTGCTGGAGCCAGTCATCTCCATGATTCATCTTCTCCTAATCACCCTCCTAACCTGGTTATGAATCACTTACTATTGAGCCTCTCTCAACTTTATTCAAACTTGATTTTACCTCATTATAGTTTTTCCTTCAGCACTTCTTTCACGTAAAGCAGTCTGAAATTAAGTTCCATACACCAGCATTTCATTACAAGGGCTGGCGAATTTAAAATGTGGGTGTGTTATCTTCATTCTGATCGTGAAGAAAATGGATAGTTTCAGAAATCATGCTCAGCTTTTCTCTAGAGTTGGATGGCAGCTGATGCTTCCTCCTGACCTGTTCTTTCCTGCACTTTAGATGTGAGGTGATTCCTTATTGTTTTACTTGGAAAAGCTAAAAGATATTAGACAATATCAACAGTTTATTGTATATCTGGTGTGAATCAAATGGACCAACCAGTATCCAAGAATATTTTTAACTTGGCTAACTGACTGTATTTCTTCCCCCACTACACGGAAGTTGAACTTAACCCTTCTGATGTTAAAGATTGTTCAGAGACTGGATGGCTATGGCCATTGTGCTTTAGGATGTTTCACTGTAAGATGGGGAGTCATCTACCTCATAGGGTAGTGGTGAGTTTTAAAGAAGTTAACTTTGGTAAAGTCTCTAGCACAGTGCTTGGCACATAGTAGGGTGTGTTAATTTCTTTCCCTTCCCTGCAGGCCATTCACCTGCTCTTCCCTCTACGATTTTCCATAACACAGTTTTTACTTGGAACCAGCCTTCTGCCAAGAGTCTCAGTTTGGTTGTGTACTCCTACAACTCCTATTTTTGGCTTGACTTCCCTCTCCAGCTCCCAGTGGTCCAGCCACACAGTCGCCTATTGTACCAGCTGGTTGATGTAAGTCTATCCATCCTCAGAGGAACCTGGTTACTTACCAGTAAGCTGTGTTTCTTTGAAAATGTAGCATCCTTGATAATTAATGTATTTTCTTCTTTATCATTGATGATGAATCATTTTTGATAACTTCCTTGTGTGATTCTCTAGTTGGAACTAGAATTAGAGAGTTCAATTTGTTGACATAGGTGGTCTCCTAGTGAGCTCCTGAGTCTAGGACACATGACTCTTGATCAGGTAAAATGCTGTGGAGATTCATGAGGTCAAAATCCTTTTGACAACTCTGAGTGATAGGAGGCTTAAGTATATAGCTGTCAAGGATGATACATTTTCAAAGAAAAATAGTTACTGATAAGTAAGTGGGATTTTTGAGTAATTTTCCTATAAGTCAATAAGTAAGAATTCCCAAACTTGTTTTTTACTAACAAATGCTTTTGCATTTGAATATTATTTCATAAATGAAAGGAATATGGATATTAGTTAAGGTTGATAGTTAAAGAATGGGATAGGTTTCTGGAGATACTATGTAGATAATGAGGTGGTATAGACCTTTAGTTTTCTAAACAGATAGTCTCATATTTTTAAAGAGAAATTGGAAATTGAAATCTCCATTAGGAAGAATCAGCAAGTGCATTCCAGAAACATTTCTTGAGTGCTTACTCTTTTTTGAGACACTGTGCTGAGTATTGTTGTGAGACAGAGGGGTAAAGCCATACTCTGCCTCCCCTGCTCTGCCCTCAGAGAGCTCGGCGACTCTCTTATGATTTATATTGTATTGAGATGATGGCTCATGGGAGTATGACAGGTGTGGGTGGAGGTAGTACTGAGTACTTACCCTTTGCTGTCTTATTTCTGTGCTTTTGTCAGTTCTTTCTGTTCATGGGAAAACTTAGCTGACCTCGTTTAGTAGACCCAGAGCATTTTCTACATGGCCAGAGCAAATAGATGAAGCAGAGCCAATGAACGTCACTCCCACTTAGTAGTTGAATAGAATATTCGGCTGTCTAACCTTAAGTGTGACCTTGGATTTAGATGTGAAAGCCGGCAAATAAGTCAGAGTTGGAGAGGCAACCACTCCCCCTTAACACGCCCCCCTCCCACTCGCCAGGCTTTACAGGGTGCTAATCTTCAGAATTACCTCTGCCAATTGTAGAATAAAAATAAAAAACTGTAATTGTTTTGCAAGAAATAAAGATTATTCTGTACTTAAATTCATTGGACAGTGTTACTGGCTTAGGCTGTCCTACTTAGGAAGGAAGGGAGACTTGGTAGTGACAGGAATAAGAGGAGGGTGTGGGGGAGGAGAGGCATTGTAGCACCCACTGCACGCTGTAACAGTGATGAAGCTCTTGGGTGCTGGAATCTTTCATCCTAGTTTGGTAATTTACTGACTTTCTGACTAAGCCAGTTATTTAACGTCTCTGAACCTCAGTGTCCTCATTTGTGAAGTTGTGAAGGTAAAGGCCGAGATGAAAGTGGTTAAGATGTCTATAAAGCACTTAGCACAGTGCCTGCAACGTAGTACGTGCTCAATAAATGTTGACTATTGTTATTATTGGATTATTGGACGGATGGATGAAGAATTGTATCAGAGGCTAAAGAGTGGAACGGGAAAGAATTGTGGGTTTTGGAGTACTAGTAAACTGTTCACACCTTATTTATTTGAGCTATGAGCTTTTTAGTATTATTATCTTTATCTTTGCCCTTTTGGAAAGCAAATTCATGGATTAATCACTGTCACAGTTCTTCCTGGGGCCTTTCAGTCCGAGGCTGACACTCTGTCCACTAAGGCATGCTCTATTTTCCATTGATTATCGATTATGAATGTGTGTCCAGAGTGTTTTTGAGAAGGCTCTGGAGACCTGATAATTGGGTAAAGGTACTCTAAGAAGAGTTGGATTTCTTAGGATGGAAAGTGCTGTGGTTGGGCACAGATTATTATCACATTTCATAGAATTAAAGATGCAAACTTTTTAACATTTTAACATCTGAAATCATCATGCACTTTAGAAATGCTGTGATAAGAAAGCATTATGTTATAGTTTAACTGGGGCATTATTTTCTTAGTGATACAGAAGATACTAAAATGGATGTCATCATGGATTGGATGAAATACCAATTTCAGGGAATATAGGCACTTAACTATTATAGATATTTGGTATCATGGCAATATGTGCAGGGGCTCCAGAGTCAGACTTTCTGGGTTTAAATTCTAGCCCTATCTGTGTGACTTTGAGCCAGTTATTTATCCTTTCTTTACCTTCCTTTTCTCACCTGTAAAATGAAGATTAAGGACAATCTCCATCTTACAATATTGTAATGAGGACTAAATATGATCAGACGTGTGTAATATAGCGCCTAGCACATACAAAGTTAATAACATAGCTATTATTATTAATAGTTTAGAGATTATACTTTGCAGAGTTGATATGAATCCATTTAGTTATGATTGAAATGCAGATCTAGTACCCTTTAATGTTTGTGTATCAACTGATAATTCAGCAAATGACACCTGGGCTTTTAAAAAGGGAAGATAAAGATAAGCGGCTAACAAGTTTCCATATTCTTATTAAGTAAGATTTCAGTGGCATATTTGGTATCTATATTATTATTCCATGTGGTTGAGGTGTGGAAGAAATTTTGAGCAGTTAATAGAAAGCTAATATAAATACAATTTTTGATCGGTAAGTATGGGAAGGGGTAGAGGGCTTTAAAAATTTGTAAAAGGCGAAGCTTTTTTCCCTCCACCCTAAGTAAAAGAGGAGATAATCCTTCTTGGTTTTTATGCACTTTACTGTCTTAGGTAAAGACAGTAACTTAAAAATTTTTAAATTTCCTTTTAAAATTATGTAAAATGGTAGCATCCCTTTATAATATGATTGCTACAGCTGCAGATTGTCTTATTCTCATGAGTCATTTTATTTTTTCTGTTCTAGTGTTCGGTGACCAGTGACTTGGATTTTCCAACACAAGTCATCCCATTAAAGACTCTGAATGCAGTTGCCTCAGTACCCATAATGTACTCTTGGTCTCCTCTACAGCAGAATTTCATGGTACGTAAATAATGGATCTTCTGCTAATTTATAATCACTATTTTAAATAAATAGTATAGATGATTTTCTCATCAAGGTGAGTCAAGATAATATGAGTAAAAATGCTATGAAAATAGTAGCACTCAGAGTGATGTTTTTTAACTGATACTTTGCAATGTTGCTCTTTTCCTGCTCCTTTCTAGTTAAAATATTCTTCAGAGGAAAAGTGTTAAGCAAAAACAATACCTGGGATTCAAAGATGAAGTCTATAGTTCTTAGCTTGAAGAGGTTAGTCTGACTATGAGGTTTTGTTAATTGAGAACTTATTTAAAACAATTTTAGGCAGCATGTTATTAAATGATAATGTACACTACGGAATATTCTCACAGCTTATAAAAACACAATCACGTTTCCACAGATAACATTGGCCCAATAGCGTTTGTAATGAAATGCTAGCACAGTCAAACTTCAGTTCCCGAATGTCTCCCATCTCAAACAATTCAGTTCTCGACCAAGTTGTTCACCGAAAAATGTCTTGGTTTTGTTGGTTCTCTACCTCACAAGCCTTTCATGCTGATACATCAGCCTGACAAAAAGCATCTCTCAGGCCACAAAGCCTCGCATTGTTAACATCTCAGGAAATTGTGCTGTGAATATTTTTTGTTTATGTGTGTTATTTCTTTTGTTGCTGGTGAAATGTACTATTAACACAATTTTAAAACATAAGGAGCCTGGCCCGTGGGGCTTCGTGGTTGAGTGTCAACCCATTACCAGGAGGTCACTGGTTCAATTCCTGATCAGGGCACATGCATGGGTGTGGGCTTAATCCCAGGTAGGGAGTGTGCAGGAGGCAAACGGTTGATGTTTGTCTCTCATTGATGCTTCTATCTTTCTCTCTCTCAAAATTAAAACACACACACGCACACACACACACACGTGTTTAGAATGTTTTTTTTTTAAATCTTTATTGTTGAGATTATTATAGATGTTCCTCTTTCCCCTCCCCCCCCAAAGCCCCCTCCACCCAGTTCCCACCCCACCCCTGTGGTCTGTGTCCACAGGTATTGCATATGGGATCCTTGGTTAATCTCTTCCCACCTGCCCCCTCTCGTCGCCCCCCCCCCCCCCAAATTCGTCAGCCTGTTCCATTTTTCCATGCGTCATTCTATTTTATTCATCAATTTATTCTGTTCATCAGATTTCTTCTTTGTTTATTTTGATTTTTAGATTCAATTATTGATAGACATGTATTTATTGCCATTCTATTGTTCATATTTTTGTTGTTCTTCTTCCTTTTCTTGAAGAATACCCTTCAACATTTCATGTACTACTGGTTTGGTGCTGATGAACTCCTTTAGCTTTTTCTTATCTGTGAAGCTCTTTATCTGACCTTCAATTCTAAATGATAGCTTTGCTGGGTAGAGTAATCTTGGTTGTAAGTCCTTGCTATTCATCACTTTGAGTATTTCTTGCCACTCCCTTCTGGCCTGCAAAGTTTCTGTTGAGAAATCAGCTGACAGTCATATGGGCTTTCCCTTGTAGGTAAGTAACTAACTGCTTTTCTCTTGCTGCTTTTAAGATTCTCTCTTTGTCTTTAACCCTTGGCATTTTAATTATGATGTATCTTGATGTGGTCCTTTTTGGGTTCCTCTTGTTTAGTACTCTCTGTTTCCTGGACTTGTAAGTCTATTTCTTTCACCAGGTAGGGGAAGTTTTCTGTCATTATTTCTTCAAGTAGGTTTTCAATATCTTGCTTTTTCTCTTCTCTTTCTGACATCCCTCCCATAATGCAAATGTTAGTATGCTTGAAGTTGTCCCAGAGGTTCCTTACACTACTATCTTCATATTTTTGGGTTCTTTTAGCTTTTTTTTTTTTTTTAAATATTTTTATTGATTTCAGAGAGGAAGGGAGGAGAGAGAGATAGAAACATCAATGATGAGAGAGAATCATTGATCGGAGGCCAGGCCCACAACCCAGGCATGTGCCTTTGGCCGGAATCAAACCTGGGACCCTTCAGTCCGCAGGCTGACGCTCTATCTTTCCACTGTGCCAAACCGGCCAGGGCGCTTTTTTGTTTTTCTGATTGGTCTTTTTTGCCTCCTCATATTCCAAATCGTTGATTTGTTTCTCAGAATCATCTAATGTTGAATCCTTGTAAATTATTCTTTTAAAAAATATATTTTTATTGATTTCAGAGAGGAAGGGAGAGGGAGAGAGAGAGAAACATTAATGATGAGAGAGAACCATTGATCGGCTGTTTCCTGCACTCTCCCTACAGGGGATGGAGCCCCAAACCCGGGCCTGTGCCCTTGACCAGAATTGAACCCAGGACCCTTCAGTCTGCAGGCCAATGCTCTATCCACTGAACCAAATCAGCTAAGGCTGTAAATTATTCTTTATTTCAGTTAGTGTATGCTTAATTTCTGACTGGTCCTTTTTCATGTCTTTGAAATTCTCCCTAAGATTTTTGAAAGTCTTACTAAGTCCCTTAATGCTCTCATTAATTCCCTTGACGCTCTCCTTAAGATCCTTAAGTAACCTTATAGCCATTGTTTTGAACTCCATATCCAGTAGTTTGCCTGCTTCCATTCCTTTCATTTGTGACATGTTTCTTTGTCTCCTCATTTTGGCTGCTTCCCTGTGTTTGTTTCAATGTATTAGGTAGAGCTTTTAAATCTCCTGGAATTGGTAGAGTGGCCTTTTGTAGTAGGTGTCTTGTAGGGCCCAATGGCTTAGTCTCCCCAATTACCTGAGCTGGGCCCTCTAGGTGTGCACCCCCCTGTGTGGGCTATGTGCACAGTCTTGTTGTAGTTGAGCCTTGATTGCTGTTGGTATCACTGGGAGGAATTGACCTCCAGGCCAATTGGCTGTGAGGACCTGTGTCTATAGTGGAAGAACAGCAGTGCAGGAAACCCCTATGGAGCAGGACTTGTTTTAGTGGGGCTTTGGTGCTCACTGAATCTGGCCCTTGAGTGTGTTGTTTGTGGATGTGTAGAGTTGTAATCTGGTATGGTCTCAAGTTGTCCACCAGGTGCACTGACTCTGGGGCCTCCTGGGAGGTGCAAAATCAGCCACTGCCTGGGGCCACCCGGCAGGAGCTACAGGGAGATCTGTAGATGGCTGCTACTTGTAATGGGCTTGGAAGTGCCCAGGTGAGGCCAACTGGTAAAGCAAGGCAGGCTGGTGCTAGTGCCGGGTCTTGGACCTTTTATTGATACATTTGGGGCACACTGGCTCCAGCTATTGCTTGTTTAAGAGATTTTAGCAAAGTCTGAAGCCTGAGCCAGTTCAGGCTATTCATATGGAAGAGCCACTGCAAATAGTAGGGCTGCAAATTGGATGGGTGGGGTCTCAGGGAATCTCCAGGGCAGAGTGAACAGTGTGGGCCATGCTGATGGAAACTCAGATAGAGCTGCCAGTCAGCTCTGTGATTGGGGAGGTCCAAGCACAGGAACAGTGACCCCTGTGAGCACCCTTGTTTGGGAGAAAGCCCCCCACCCCCCCGAGTTTCTCCTTGATGCCAGACAGTCTACAATCCCCAGCTGGTTTTTGCCACCTGAAGTTATGGGGGACTTCTCTTCCCAGCTCTGGAACTCTGGGCTGGGGGTCTGCTATGGGGCTGGGACCCCTTGCTCCTCACAGTGGGCCTCTGCAGCCGAGATATCCCTCCCGATTAAAAAAATGGCATACGTGGGTGTTGGACCTGTTCTGCGCCTCCGCCCCTCCTACCAGTTTTAATGTGCTTTCTTCTTTACTTCTCTAGTTGTAGGACTTCCATTCAGCCAGATTTCAGGTGGTTCTGAATGATGGTTCTGTATTTTAGTTATAATTTTGATGTGGTTGTGGGAGGCAGCGAGTACAGGTGTTTACCTATGCTGCCATCTTGGTTCCAATCAAAACCATAATAAAAAAAAAAATAAGACATAGCCTGGCTGGCGTGGCTCAGAGGTTGAGCACTGACCTATGAACCAGGAGGTGGCAGTTCAATTCCCAGTCAGGGCATATGCCTGGTTTGCAGGCTTGATCCCCAGAATGGGTGTGTAGGAGGCAGGCAGGCAGCCAATCAATGATTCTTTCTCATCATTGATGTTTCTATCCCTTCCTCTCTGAAATCAATAAAAACATATTAAACACATGACGAAGCCATCAAGAGTGCTAAAGTTGCTAAGGGTATGAAAGAAACAATGATCATAGGCAATTGAAGACGTAGAAAAGCTGTAGTTGATTTGGATAAACAAAAACCAGTTAGCTGGAGATAGCATTTCAGTGACAGCATTTCGGAGGCAGTGATATGTGAGTAAGCGAAGGTGCTGCTTGCTGACTTCCTGAAAGATACCTCTGGAACGAGTGCTGAAAGTGATTTGTTTAGGGAGTGGGTTGATAAATTTAAGAAAAGAAGTGTTTGCTTATAGAGTAAACAGTACATTAGATATGTTCTGTATATAAGAAATGTTAAAACGGAATCATTTGGGGGTCTGGAACGAATTAATCAATTTAGAGAATTTCTAATGGGGAAAAAAAGATTTAGTTCTTGAACAAATCGCTTCTTGAACAGCCTTCTAGAATGAATTAAGTTCAATAACAGGCTCCACTGTATTTCTTGATAGAAGGAGGATGAAGGAAGATGGCACAAAAGAGAAACTTTGAGTGTGCATTCTTGACTTGTGTCATTCAATAAAAATATATAATTTTATTAACTTGATATATAAAGTAGTATAGTTTTATTATTTGATATATAAAATAGTAAGGGCAATAAAATTTGATGGAAGTCGTTGGTGAGCCTAGTTTAGAGAATTGCTTATGTTTCCAATGTTTTTAATAACTTAAAGATTTCATAGTGGAGGGTTAAAGGCAAACTTCATATACTCTTCTACAATTGCATAAATTTGTGTGATTAAGGCTTGATTCAAAAACATTTAGTTTGAGAATCATATCACAAGAGGGAAGTTTCATATTTTCATACACTGAAATTCTTGAAGAATACTGTTTAAAGTTGCCAATATATACTATTTATGGATCATACATGGGTTTTGCTGAATACCGACCAAAGTAGATTAGGCAGGCTATCTTTATTATGCTAGGGTATGTTTTGGGGACAAGACTGTGTAGATATAATTGAGAAGACAAAAGAGCCATTGTCACTTAATTTTTGCTTGCATCCAAAAAATGAATCCACCTAGTTTAAATGGGATTAGTGCAAGTGAGATGCAATGAAAACTGGACTCTGTAGTTGTACACAAACTTGATCTGAATAGATCAGTACATTAAAATTTAAATTTTCATTTTACCTCCCATATGCATAGTTTCTACCAATTTCCCTTTTCTCTAAGGTATGAAGTCTGCAGTTGTCCTAAGTTTGTTATCAAGGGTTTATTGGGAAATTTTCCCTTTCTTTGTATTTCCTGACCATTACTGTGTCTCATGGCCTATTGATCATGATCCCAGCCTAAGGCACCTTACACTTTATATAGCTGCCATGACCTCCTGTCAGCCTGTCCTTTCAGTTTATCAGAATTATCTTTCTAAAATTTTGTTATCAGCACCCTGTTCAAAGTCCTAAGACTTAGACCTATCCTCACTTTAGTGTCCTTAAATATGGACTTCAGAACCCTCTAGTCTTTATCTGTAATTACTGTCTTTTTTATTCTTCATTGAAAATTCTCTTTCTCCCGATTGTCAGCTTTCTGTGCTTTGTATTCTTAAGTATTACATTATCTCTTAACTTTCCTTTGATTGCTAAGCTAGCACCCTCTTCTTCCCTGTTGTCTTTCAAACCTTGGTATAAACCCATCTTGTCATCTTCATTAGCATTATCAATTTTGATATGCATCCTGTTCATCTCAGTATTGAAATATTTTTTATTGTAGAATGTTATTTTATGTAAATGAGTAAATCCTTTTGGCATAACTTTAATGGATATATATCAATACTCTATTATACATCCCTAGAATTTTACATTGAATGTCTTCCAATTACTAGACCAAATGAAATTTAGAAACCCTTATGTTAGTTTTTTTTAAGGTATGGTTATTTATAGTTCATTTCGATAAACCGTATTTCATCAATTCCACTTTATCGTCAGATATAGGTATACATACATAAAATAATGGGAAATTTTAATGTTTGATGACATGTTAGAGTAGGTAAATACAGTATTTTTCCTTAAATTTGTTTCTCTGTTGCGCTTATTTGTAAGAGGGATCTTTTACTTATAGTTTTTAGAGTTTGCTATCTATTATTTTAGGTCTGGAGAACTGGGTAAAGACATCTGCTTATGAAAATTGCTGTATTTTAGTTATTACATTATTTTAAAAAATTTGGTACTTAAGATAAGGCTGCTTTTAAATTTATTATTTTTTAAACTTTTTAGGTAGAAGATGAAACTGTTTTACATAACATTCCTTATATGGGGGATGAAGTTTTAGACCAGGATGGGACTTTCATTGAAGAATTAATAAAAAATTATGATGGAAAAGTACACGGGGATAGAGGTGAGCCATGGGTTTATTCTCTTGGAAAAGGGGGCTAAAGAACTGAGAGATACTTTGATTTATTTTTTTCAGCATAGATATGAAAAAGATTTTTAAATATTAAGTTTTATGCTGGATTGGCCTGGCTCACAAGCCTAAAATTTTTAGAGTTTTCTTTAATTTTAAATTGAAGGACCATGTTTGCCACATGAAAATTATGCATAGTTGGTTATAGCAAATTATGTTAATAACATGTAAATTAAATAGAATTATTTGAATATATATATATTTTAAGATTCTTTACCAGTAAAATTAATTAGAACAAGGCTCTGCTTATGTGACATGGGCTCCAAAAAGCTCTACACTCTAAAATACCTTCCCACCAGGCTGCTGCAGTACCTGAAATTCTATCATTAGAATCATGGCTTTGGTGTTTTGTGTCCAGCAAACTGCTAATTTGTCTGGCAGGATGGTGATAGGTGTAACATCGTCAGTTGTTCTCATTATTAGTGGAAAGCAAGGTCTCTTGGTACATTGCTTTGGAGGAGGCCAAGGCCACAATTAGTTTCTAGAGAATTAGTTACAGTAGAGACCCTGGAAACTTTTGGGGGATGGATGATTAAAGAGAAAATTACAGGTGTTGAAGGTAAATTCTGTTCCTAACTTTGCCTTAGGTGAGTCCTGAAAAGGATCTCCCCCCTCATTTAATAATGTTATAATGCTGATTGGCGGGCTCTGACTATTCCAAATCAGAAAAGGCATATGTAAACTTTTGTCATTACCACTCTTCTTTGTATATTTCTGATATTTGACTTGGTGAATTTCAGAATGTGGGTTTATAAATGATGAAATTTTTGTGGAGTTGGTGAATGCTCTTGGCCAGTACAATGATGATGATGATGACGATGATGGAGATGATCCCGATGAAGGAGAAGAAAAACAGAAAGATCTGGAGGAGAACAGAGATGGTATGTCTGTTAGGATTGTGTGTAGCCATTATAGCATCTTTCAAAAACAATAGAGTACAAGTAGATTGTCATTCCTTTTTTTGTTTGTTAAAAATTACATCGATAATAGTATAATCAAAATTAGAATGTTATTTGTAACATTTCATTCTGTACTTGAGTGTCTTTATTTCCTTTGGCTAACATATTTATTTGGTTTTGGGTTTCACTGGGCAGTCATAATCATCATCAGATAACATGCTGATCTCTTCTTTGTACAAGTAGTGATCACTTTATATTCACTAGCTCATTGGATCCTCATAATGCTCCACAGGTGGATCTGTCTCATAGTGGAGGAGTTAGGAGGTTTAATGCTGTGAAGTAACTTATTAAGTTCACACTCTAGGGAAGAACAATTCAGACACCATAAACGGTAACCAGCTGTGAGGACTTCATACCTGAGAAACAGAGGCCCAGTCAGAGCCAGGAGTTGTTGGAGACTTGGCAAAGCTCATTATTTAAGATAACATAGAAGGATTTGGGGGAAAACTTCAGTTTCAAAGAAGCATAAACTTTTTATAACGGACACCTTAGTGATCATCTAGTTCAGTGCCTTCATTTACAGATGAGGAAACAGACCCAAGTGGGTCTGTGACCAACCAAGGTCACAAAACCAGTTAGTAGTAGAGCTGCTTATCATTTTTCTGCCCACTTTTTTCTGCCTCCCAATCTGCTTAAAACTTTCCATATTGGATTTTGAAGTTGTTTTTTGTCTGACTTAACTGTCATGCCATAGATACATGTAAAATATATTGGAAGTAAGTGAAACACAAAGTTGATAATTTCTTAGAAGATGATCTTTTTTACATATAGTCATGTGGAAAAAAATGAAAGTTTGAAAACTTGTTTACTTTCATTCTTTTTGCCCTTTCATATTTCCTTGTTCAGATAAAGAAAGCCACCCACCTCGGAAATTTCCTTCTGACAAAATTTTTGAAGCCATTTCCTCAATGTTTCCAGATAAGGGCACAGCAGAAGAACTAAAGGAAAAGTAAGATTTGTTCTTGTGAGGCAGTCTTGTATGGGATATCTCTCACCATTTGGTTTATTGGAAATGGAACTAATGTAATGTAGCTGATGAGCCACTTGCTTCATTTGTCAGGTCTGCCAAGACACTTGAAGTGAAGCATAAACCTGTGGAGCTCTGCCTTAAAAACCTTTTAGAACAAACACACATAATACGCAATAGTACATGTAGAGGAAAATTTTTCTGGACACTTGTAGAAATTTTAGTGCAGTTGGTGTTTAACTTTAATATAAGAACATTTTTCATGAATTTGATTTTTGATATGTCTTGCATAATGTGTAATTGGCTCATTACAGATGGTTATAGATGTGTCTTTTGTGCTTTAGGCAAGAAAAACAGAAATAATACATGGAATCTGTTTAGAAACTTTATTTTTAGAAGAAAAACCCCACAAAAAAACCTTTATTTTTAAAATTGTAACTTTTGTTTTCCATTAACTTACATTTCTCTTGGTTCATGTCAGGTATAAAGAACTCACTGAGCAGCAGCTCCCAGGGGCACTGCCTCCAGAATGTACCCCGAACATAGATGGACCAAATGCTAAATCTGTTCAGAGGGAGCAGAGCCTGCATTCATTTCACACACTCTTCTGTAGGCGATGTTTCAAGTATGACTGCTTCCTACACCGTAAGTGCAGTTATTGTATGTTTTCATTTTCGATCTTCGCTGTGGAATTATGTTTTAGAGCAACTTGGAAATGGTTTTCATTGATTACAACTAGAGTTTATCATTTAATCTTGCAGTTCAGATTGAAAAATGCTAGGATCAGTGTCTTACTATTTTTAATTTGTTGCTTGAGGGTTGCTCCAAAGTCTTCATGAGTTTGATTTGTATTGCTATCTCCCACCAACCTGGGATATAGGTCAGTGATTTTTCCATAAATTCTAATGGAGCAGTTGTTTCATAATAAACTATTACTTTGAACTAGCTGATAGCCCAGGGCAACACTGCGATATTGATATTAGCCAATTTCTTCAACAAAATTTGTTCAAGGTGCTTATAGATGTTATCATCTATCTAGCTATCTAGTGTTAAATTTTTTCTTTTTTTTTTTTTTTACAAATACCCGCATTTGAATATAGGTAAAACATAAAATAGTCTTAATGAAATTGAAGTATGGCACACACAATATTTTCTTATATTGCTGGGGAGTGAGGTTTCGTGGTAAATTGTCCAGGTAACTGGAATTTATTTCTTTAAGCATGGTTTAAAAACTACCAACTGCTTTTTGAGGAACATATTTCAAAAATATATTTCATACCTCCCAGTTTCCTATGCAGAGTTTACTTGATATAGAGGTTAGTTTTTCCCATGTCACATTTTAGTGTGATGTTGGTGACATGGTAACACGGTAGGGGCTCTGCACCAGTCTCCCCTGCACTAAATGGCTCCAAGGTGCTTTGTCTTTTTCAGTTTGAACCCACCTTTCACAGAATTTTCCCCTCATTTTCCAGTGATATGTTTCAATGTGAGTTAGCCTGCTCAAGCCATTAGCTCTTACCTCCTGTTGAGTTTTGCTCTGTCTGTGCACTTCTATCTGCATAGCTCGTGATTTGTGGTGTGATGTGCATCTTAGTCTTGGAAACAGTAATTTCTGTGTGTGAAGTGGTTTAGTTATCTTAAGTTAGAAAAACTTAACATTGGTTTTTAGAATTATCATTATGTCTCCCATCTCCTTGCTGTTATCCACACTCCTGTCTAGTTTAAATTGATTTGGTATTTTGAATAATCAATAGCTGTTGGACAGTTATCAAATACGTATCTTATTTGGGTTTCACATAGCCCTTGAAAAGTTGTTTTGAAAAGCATTCCCCTTTATACATGGTCATTTTGTAAAATATGTCCAATTCTTATTAAGAATATTGTAGCCCTAGCTGGTTTTGCTCAGTGGATAGAGCATCAGCCCTGGACTGAAGGCTCCTGGGCTCAATTCCAGTCAAGGGCACATGCCTGGGTTGTAGGCTCAATCCCCAGTAGGGGGCATGCAGGAGGCAGGCAGTCAATGATTCTCTCTCATCATTGATGTTCCTGTCTCTCCCTTCTCTGAAATCAATAAAAATATGCTAAAAAAAAAAATATTGTAAATTGCTGCCCTGGCCAGTGTGGCTCTGTGGTTAAAGTGTTGACCAGTGCACTGAAGGGTCTTGGGTTTGATTCCTGGTTAAGGGGGCACGTATCTGGATTGCAGGTTCAAACCCCAGCCCCAGTTTGAATAGGGGAGGCAACCATCGATGTGTCTCTCTCACATAGATGTTTCGTTCTCTCTTTTCCTCTTCCTCCCTCCTTTCCACTCTCTAAAATCAATGGAGAAATATCCTCAGGTGAGAATTAACAACAACAACAAAAAATTGTAAATTGCATGTCTGCATGTGCTTATGGTGGACCAAAGTAGAACTTTTGGTGGGATATTCTGATGTGCTGTCTATTGTCTGAATGGCCTACAGAGGAATGTTTTAAGCATAAAACAGTTGTATTAGTTTATCCTTTTTGGTATTATGTGAAAGTCCATTTGAATGTTCTTTTTGTAATGTATATTGATGTTTAAAGATTTTAAAAATGGATTTTTAGAGAGAGGAAGGGACAGGAGGAGAGACTAAAACATGCATATGCTCCCTATTGGGGATCGAGCCTCAAACTCGGGCATGTGCCCTGACCTGGAATCGAACCCCAAACCTCTTGGTGCATGGGACAGCACCCAACCAACTGAGCCACACCAGCCAGGGCTGAGATTTTAACATTTTAATTGGTTAGAATATCAAAGAAGGTATTTCAAGTTTATAATTGATGGCTGACTTTTTTTTTTTTTTTTTTTTTTTTTTTTAGTATTTTAGCTGTGTAATAGTTAAAAAACTTCAGAAATACTTGAGTTCATATTTGCTGTGTAATTCTCAGTGACTAAACCTCCCTAAGTCTGTTTTCCTCGTCTGTGAAATGGGGATGAGGATCCTAATACCTGGGTATTTTGTGAGAATTAAATGAGATAATGCCCAAAGCTTCCTAGTGTGTGCTTTTGAACATAGAATTCTGTTTGCTGCTGTCACTGCTTTCCCATGCTTGAGTGTTGGCATTGTTGTTCTGTGAGGGACTTTTTAGTAAAAGTCTGATATCTGTCATATACACAAAAGAATTTATGTGATTCCATATGTAAGTATTCAGTAAGAATTCATTCTTAGTACCAAGCTCTAATCAGAGCAGACAACAGCAGTATTTTGAGCAGAAGTTAATGTATAAAACTGATAATTTGTACTGATCTGATCATTTGTCACATGACAGCAAGCTGAAGAAGTGAGTATTTCAGGGAAGTGGTGTCTGATGTGAAGCTGTTCTCTTTGTCCATGCAGTGAGGAGTGTGTGTCTGGTCACACCTGCTGCCAAACAACTACTTGCACAAATTATTGCCTTTGGGGATCGAGCCTCAAACTCGGGCATGTGCCCTGACCTGGAATCGAATACTTCGTATTTAAGTATTTTGTTCCTGTTTCCTGATTTGTAAAACTCCCTGGAAACAGGTGATCACTAACGTTTGTTTCAGTGCTGATCCTTGGATTCACCAGTTCTGTATTTGAGGCATCACTTACTTGTTGAAACATTGTAAGATTATAAGGGCTACTCAGTATACAATGTGTCCCCAAAAAAGTATACACACTTGGAATGATTATAAAGTTAGTCTTTACTAACGTACAGTTAATTTTTTAAAACTTAAAAGAATCTACAGAAACGAATAGTTTTTTTTGTTGTTGTTGTTATGCCTGTTTTCAAACTGATGACCATTCTGGTCCAGGCACTGCTGATAATGCAAAGCAATGGAATCCTAAACCTCGAGAATAATTTCTTCAGTATTTGTGTGCTCTCTATTCGTTGACTGTTGCTGGTCTTGTACCATAAGCCTTTATCTTTTAAAATCTTGTGGCACTTTAAGATACATTTTTTAAAAAAATGATGTTTTTATTGATATTAGAGAGAGAGGAAGGGAGAGGGGGAGAGAGATGGGCTGCCTCCTGCACGCCCCCTACAGGGGATTGAGCCCAGAACCCCAGGCATGTGCCCTGACCAGGAATTGAACTGGTGACTTCTTGGTTCCTGGGTTGATGCTCAACCACTGAGCCACACCAGCCGGGCAGGATAAATTTTCTTTGTTCAAAGCTTGGTCTGGCTTCACCCATTATTTCAAATCAGTTATACCTGAAAAGGAGTTAAAACTAAGTGAGTTATCAACTGTTAAACTCTATATACATTTTTTTTGGGGGGGGGGGGAACACACACACACCCCCTATATTTTGGTTATTTTTTAGTGTTGCCAATTTAATCTCAAACAGAGGTATAGAGAATAGCTGGAATTGTATATAACTTTTACCTTTGCTTGAAATCCTTTTGATAGGTTTTAAAAAATATATGTTTATTGATTTCAGAGAGGAAGGGAGAGGGAGAGAGAGATAGAAACATTAATGTTGAGAGAGAATTATTGATTGGCTGTCTCCTGCACGCCCCTTACTGGGGATCGAGCCCTCAACCCAGGCATGTGCCCTGACCTGGCATTGAACCATGACCTCCTGGCTCAAAGGTTGATGCTCAACCACTGAGCTTATATAATGGCTGGGCTTTAGATGATTTTTCATCAAGATTTCATAGGTTGCTTTCAACATTAAAACAAACAAAAATCCTTGAAATATCCATGTTCGCTCCTTGTAAAATTTAAAGGTACCGTGCCTTAATTTTTCTGACGATGGACTTTTATATAACAATTTTTCTGTATATTTAGCTTGAAATACATATTTTCAAAAATATATTTTTATTGATTTCAGGGAGGAAGGGAGAGGGAGAGATAGAAACATCAACGATGAGAGAGAATTATTGATTGGCTGCCTCCTGCACACTCCACACTGGGGATCTAGCCTGCAACCCAGGGATGTGCCCTGACTAGGAATCAAACCGTGACCTCCTGGTTCATAGGTTGATGCTCAATCAGTGAGCCACATTGTCCAGGCTAGCTTGAAATAATTTTTAGTAGCTTATTTCAAATATTAGTATTTTAAGATGTCTATTTGAAAAGTATTCTGGACATTTCTAGAAGAGTGAATTCTTTATATATATGGGCTTGTTTGAAATTCTGCTGAGGGAATCTAGTCATAATAATGGTACTTTAAAATTTATTAAAGTACCTTTGATTATAAATATGTTGATTTTGTTGTTATAGTCTGAAGTTGTTCCTGTCTTCGAGACTATGATTATGGTTAATAAGTACTGTTACCTAGTTCTAGTTAAGGACCACCAGAGGCTACTGTCCTCACTTGAGCTGTGTGTGTGTGTGTGTGTGTGTGTGTGTGTGTGTGTGTGTTTCTGTCTACAGATACATATGTGCCTCTATTTTCACTGAATTAGGGAGGAGGCATCACAACTAAAAACAGATTTTACCAAAAATGTGTTACTCATTGTGTGCACTAACTCTGGCTAATGACTGCTTTGTTTTTGGATTGATGTAATTCTGGGCTGCTAATGTGACTGTAGCCTTCTGTGTGCACAGTCTGTGTGTTAGGGGTCCTTGCCTGTCCAAAATCTAATCCAGTGCAAAGTTAGTTGTATGGTTTAGGCTCTTGTTCTGGGGGGAAAAAAACTTAAGCACTTGAAAAGAATTTGAGCCTTGAATTTCTACTTTTAAAAACATAACTTTGTTGTCTTTTTGTTTTCCTTCACCAGTCTGTCTTTACATTTTAAGTATGACCTTTTACAAATATTTTTTAAATGACTTATTTTATGAGTCTGTCACTTGTTTTTACCCAAATTAATTTTCATTTTGTGTAGTTCTTAACAGATCATTGCCAGTATTCGCCTTGTGCACTGGAAGTTAATGATCACAAATTCTCTGAAGTCCTCACTGCTGTGCACTCATACCTGGTCAGTGTACCAGTGTACTGCAGTGTGAATCTTTTTGTTAACACATGATTTGGAATTTTAAGTTTCAAACACTTTGTTGTATTTTCCTGTGGAAAGGTGCTGGTTGCAGGCTCTCACTAGGTCCTTGAGTTGTGTTTGAGTCAAAGAAAATGCATTTTAGTGTTTTGAGGCTGTCCTCTTTATACTAAATTTAATTTAGTATAAATAGAATTAAATTTAGTATAAATAAATTAAATTTTATTAATTTAAAAATTAATTTTGTTTTGTTTTTTTTAAAAATATATTTTTTATTGATTTCAGAGAAGAAGGGAGAGGGAGAGATAGAAACACCAATGATGAGAAAGAATCATTGATTGGCTGCCTCCTCTTACACACCCCACACTGGGGATTGAGCCCCCAACCTGGGCATATGCCCTTGACTGGAATCGAACCCGGGACCCTTCAGTCCACAGGCCAATGCTCTATCCACTGAGCCAAACTGGCTAGGGCTTAAAAATTAGTTTTTAACAAGTGGTATTCCATTCTTCTCTTCCATTTGACAGACTGCTGACTTTTCTTCATAAAGAAAAAAAATTGTAGATGTCAGAATTCTTTTGGTAAAAATAGGAAATCTGATTTCATTGTAGAGGGTGTATCAGTTGTTTCTATGGAGATATCAAATGTTTATGACCAGAGTTCAGAGTTTACATGCATCAGTTATACTTGTGAGGAGAAAAATGTGAAACCACTAATCATTCCAGAATGCAGTGTTTGTGCCCTGCAGGAGTCGAGGGAAACACATGGTGAGAATTCAGTAAGAACTGGGAGGAAAGTTCTGGGATGTGAATCACGTATTAGCAAGACTGGAATGTATTCATTGACTTTTCCCATTGAAACAGGGGAAATGAATAAGTAAATATTTCATATTTGGATATTTTATCTTTATTTTGCAGCTTTTCATGCAACACCTAACACTTACAAGCGGAAGAACACGGAAACAGCTCTGGACAACAAGCCTTGTGGACCACAGTGTTACCAACATTTGGTAAGCTTGAGTGCCATTTGTTCCTCAAGGGCATTTGAGAAGCACTGATTCTGAACTGGGTGAGGTGTGTGCAGTCAGCATTAACACTGGCTCCCCTGTGCTTCTCCTGGCCACACGGTAGGCAGAGGTTCTCACCCATGTCTCTCATAGCTCTCACGTACTGCACACACTAGTCCTTCATTGATCTTTGTATTAGTCTTTGTGTATGTGTTAATCTCTTCAGCTACAATTCAAAGTCTTTAGGATCGAGGACACTAACATTACACCTTCCAGAGTTTGAGGGTGTGCAGCACAGGTAGCCCACCTAACCCCAGGAACTGGATAGTCACACATAGTGGTCCTAAGCATTTCTCAGAGCCATAGCCTTTCTTTGAGTTTTAGACCCGTTGTTTAAGCTGTATTATAGGGCCCACAGAATTAAAAAAACAACAAAGAAACGGTGGAGAAAAGGTAAAGGTTTAGGGAAGTATGAGGTAGAAAAGTTGTTTTTTTTACGGGTACTATCTTATTTTTACCATTTCCCCTCTTTGAACCAAGCCACTCCTACCTAGGAACTAAGTGGGTATATATTGCCTGTTGGATTTTGGACAGAAGATTCATTGAATGGCACCTGCAGAAGGTATCCTATTTTTAAGCAATTTGGTTTTTATAGAATAAAGTATAAAACTGTTGGCTGCTCTCAAACTTCTCCCTTCTATTGCCACTAAAAATGGGATTCATGAGCACTATTTTACATATTCTTCACAAGGCAGAATTCATTTGGCTCATCTGAAATGTTTCTCTGGTCTCTCTGTAGTTTCTCTGGTCTCTCTGTAGTTAATGCTCTCACCATTGTTTTATACTTTCTGAGACTGGATGTTGCACTTCGTAATACAGAATGTAACCCTCACAGCCTTGATCCTCATGTGTCTTCCTGAGGCTGTGTATCCCTCACAGGAAAAAATGGGATGTTTTAATAGTAAGGCAGGAAATGACAAAGTCCAGCATGTTTATGTGTTTTGTATTCTTGTGTATTTTAACCATGACTATAGAAGCATGTGCTGTCTTAGAAACCCCAGCCAGATTAGGAGAGTTTGACTCCACATGCACAGGAAGTATATGATTTTCCTCATAAAATTTCACTTTTAAAGAAATTATATATGTAAAATATATTTTATATTTTAACTTACTAACCAGTTAATGCATTTCACAAATATAGAACTGTCTTGCCTGATTTCATACCACTGTAGCAATATATAGAACTCATTTCTGTCTTTCTGAAATTTCCACACCAGGGGTCCTCAAACTTTTTAAACAGGGGGCCAGTTCACTGTCCCTCAGACCGTTGGAGGGCCGGACTATAGTTTTAAAAAAAACTATGAACAAATTCCTATGCACACTGCGGCGGCAAAAACACCCAGCAGGCCAGATAAATGTTTTCGGCGGGCCGCATGTGGCCTGCGGGCCGTAGTTTGAGGACCCCTGTTCCACACTACTAGAAAAAGAAAACAAGCGTATTTAGAGATGCAACTATTTGTGGAAAATGGATATTGTGTTAAATTTCTTGACTACCTTGCTTATCCAATCTTTTGTTTTCTCCTTCAACAAAATGAGTTGTGGAACTTGACCTTGATGTCGCCTCCATGTTTCACTTCATAGGAGGGAGCAAAGGAGTTCGCTGCCGCCCTCACTGCTGAGCGGATCAAGACGCCCCCCAAACGCCCAGGAGGTCGCAGACGAGGGAGGCTTCCCAACAACAGCAGCAGGCCCAGCACCCCCACCATTAATGTGCTGGAGTCAAAGGACACGGACAGTGACAGGGAAGCTGGGACCGAAACAGGTGGAGAGAACAATGATAAAGAAGAAGAGGAGAAAAAAGACGAAACTTCGAGCTCCTCTGGTAGGGGACCTGACAACTGGCTTTACCACTGCTTTGAAAGGTCCACATTGTGGAGAGTAAGGGCATGTGCCATAGTGAATAATTTTCCTACTTGGTTAGTTTTCAATAAAATGAGAAATCTAAGACTAGGGCATTCTCAAGGAAGGACGCATAGCCGAGTTCTTGTTGCTGTCTTCTGCCCCTGGCCCGCCTACGATGTTTACTGTTTGGTCACTGAGGTTCAAAGTTCATCTATTTCCAGTGTGCCATTTCCTCCAGGGTGGGGCTCATGTCGCTCTGCTTAATTCTGTCGGTCGTTTTGGTTAATTTCCTCACTGGGCTTCAGGTGTCCTACCCTGTGACTTAACCACAAATAACATGCCTTTGTCATGAAAGCAGCCTAGGCTCCTGGTTCTGTGGGAAAAAGTTTAGTGACACTTTCTACCTCAGTTTGTCCTCAAACATGATTCACTTCCTGCTTTTTTCTTAAGCACACCCTGTTTTACTTCTTAATACTCTGTTCTGCAGTTGTCATTTCCTGAACATTGCTTAACTTTGGTTTGTAGAAGCAAATTCTCGGTGTCAAACGCCAATAAAGATGAAGCCGAACAGTGAGCCCCCTGAGAATGTGGAGTGGAGTGGGGCCGAGGCCTCCATGTTCCGGGTCCTCATCGGTACCTACTACGACAACTTCTGCGCCATTGCCAGGTTAATTGGGACCAAAACATGTAGACAGGTAAGTATATTGATTAATAAAGACTTTCAGAGAGGGGGGAAAATATGTAATCCTTGTCCAAGTGTAAGAACAGTCTCAATTATTAACCTGATGTTCATCTCCTGGAAAGTACATTTTTTTGTTTTCCCACTGAGAGGGAACTGAGAGAAAATTATTCTTCTGACTAGATATTTCAGGTTAGGTGACAATGGATTTAAAAAGCCAGTGAGAATTTAGATTAAGCCTATTGATCACATGAGGGATTATTGATCATAATGTAATCACAGCTGCTGTCCCTGCATGAGGGTTGAGACAACATCTTGCTTTGCTCTCTATTGTCCCCAGCACTTGAGCAATGTCACAGAAGAGACATGTTTCTGATATTAATTAGTATAAGAATGTGTAGGTTTGCTTACCACTATGATCCTCACAGCTGTGACTGCCTCTTGTCCAGGTGTATGAGTTTCGGGTCAAAGAGTCCAGCATCATAGCTCCAGTTCCCGCTGAGGATGTCGATACTCCTCCAAGGAAGAAGAAGAGAAAACACCGGTAAGTCCACTTGCAGCCATTCTGAGATGTCACCAGGATGCTGCAGGCCAGGTGTGTCCAAGGGTGTTGGCCAGCCTCTACTTGGCCCATTAAGAAAGGAACTTGAGCTGCCTCAAAAGTAGACTTGTGGAGTCTTGTTTCCACGAGCAGTTGCCAATGTTCTTCTGTAAGAATACAGCAGTGTCAGTAGATTTGGTGTGTTAAGAGTCATAAAAATTATGTTTACTGTGCTGCTTTTGGTTGAGACAAACCTAGTAACTTCTGCAGTAAAGGCTAAGCGAACATTTAGTTTGTTCTAAGATGTTTGCCTGAGCTTGAGTGTGATGTATATGACTTCTGCGCTGGTTTATATTTTGAGGAGCCACGTTACCTTTCCCCAAGGCCTATGGCAGTGAGTGATGAGGTGACTTGGTTTGTAAGTGCAGAGCCAGAAGATGGTGGCTGGAGTGTCAGCTTTAATGTCTTCTCCCCAGTTTTTTTGCAGTTGGGTGTTGGGTAAGGGAGCATCTAGAAACGTGTGTACATGCTGTTCCATTTCTTTAATTTAGAACTGAAAGAACTTAGGTGTGTTCCAATAGAATTCAGGCTTTAGTAGGTAATTCTGAATTTTTCGGTTGGGAGGGGGACCTGCGATGGGGGCGGGGGGTGCTTTCGGCTATCATTTTGTAGACAGGAATATGTATCAGGTAGGGAAAGCCTGCTATGCTCCAAGGTAACGGGAAGAATGTGTTCTTGTTCCTTGTGTGTGATCATCTCCCACCTCTGACCATTTTGGTAATTCTGACCATGGAGCTCAATTGAGTGATTAAAGACATGCCAGTATTATCAACATCAGAATGAACCAGTAGGGAAATGGAACCTGCACATGAAGGTGTGGCCGCCCTCAGTCCTGACTAGGTGACCTTGCAAAGTGCACACATCAGGGCTCTTGGTCACAGTTTCCCCAGTCACCACAAATGCAATGCAAGCTGCATCTTTCACAGTCACTTGGATTTAAGGCACGCCTATGTTCATGGCACAGATCGACCTGTTCAAGCAGGTTCTGTGGGATTTGTGCTGACCATTCTTCCTAGCTTCCTGGAGAAGACTGTTTTCTTTGTGTTTTGCAGGTTGTGGGCTGCACACTGCAGAAAGATACAGCTGAAAAAAGGTAGGCATCTATCTATTCATTCAACTTAAAAATGTCTGCTTATCGTTTCAGAATAGTAACTGGGTTAGAGTTTATGATACTTATATATAATTGACTTCTGTACATTAAGCTAAATTAAATGGAGGATGTCTGTTGATTATATTGCCAGTCAGTTCTCTTGTGCAGTGAAGGCGAGTCACAGGTGGGTAAAGGAGCCGCACCCTGGGGACCTGCGATGGGGGTGGGGGGTGCTTCCGGCTATCATTTTGTAGACAGGAATATGTATCAGGTAGGGAAAGCCTGCTACGCTCCAAGGTAACGGGAAGAATGTGTTCTTGTTCCTTGTGTATGATCATCTCCCACCTCTGATTGACTTGCATGCCGTTGTCTTGATGCAGACGGCTCCTCTAACCACGTTTACAACTACCAACCCTGTGACCATCCACGGCAGCCTTGTGACAGTTCGTGCCCTTGTGTGATAGCACAGAATTTTTGTGAAAAGTTTTGTCAGTGTAGTTCAGAGTGTAAGTATTTGTTGCTTTGATGCAATTGCATGAGAATTAAGTGGGCCTTTGGTCAGCTATGTGCAGCCCACAACCTGCAAAAAAATAGTAACTGAAGTTGACACAACATGGCGGCTCTTGCGGAGCCAGTGTCCAGCCAGTGCTCAGGCTAATGGGATGAAAGGAGCTGTTTGTCTCTGGTGGTTTAAATTTAATCATAGTGACATTGGCACAGAATGTAAGGGGGATCTAGAAATAGCTACCCAAATACTTTCTGGGAACCAGTATTGTCAGAGTTGGGGTGGTTCAGTTTTCAGAATAAACGAACTTGTCATAAGGGTGGTGATACTCATTATTACTGAAGCAGCACATGAAGCTCGGATACACAGGAAGTTTTTCTTCATCTGTGCAGCAGGATAGGGAGGCTGCTGTGAGGGTTCCATGAGTCCACGACGGTGACTGTCTCTGCAGGTCAGAACCGCTTTCCTGGCTGCCGCTGCAAAGCACAGTGCAACACCAAGCAGTGCCCCTGCTACCTGGCCGTCCGGGAGTGCGACCCTGACCTGTGTCTGACGTGCGGAGCTGCTGACCACTGGGACAGCAAGAACGTGTCCTGCAAGAACTGCAGCATCCAGCGGGGCTCCAAGAAGGTGGGGAAAGGGATGAGGGACATGGCAGGGCACGGCCAGCAGTCTCACTCCATTAGCTGGGGCCAAAAAGTGATCACTGAATGAATGACGCAGCTGACGGGGAGAGCCTGAGTTTCTCCTTGGGTAGCCACTCCCACCTCTGTAGCATAGGAGGAACCAGCTGTGAACGGTTTCAGGTTTGGAATAAGAGGTGTTTTTCTAGTTGTTTAGTAGATGATTTGAATTTTTAAGTTTAGCAAATAGAATTATCCATTTATCTATTCTCCTTACTGCAAATAAATGGTGTTCCTGCCGGAATATAGAGACCCATTCTTTCAAATAGTAGCCAATTTCCCTTTTGTGCAGAACAAGAGATAAAATTTCCCACAGTAGATTTTGCAGACTGTGTTCTTTTAATAACCTTGAAAACATCACAGCCAGGAATTACATAACTGGGAAGTGCATGCAGGTGATTTTTTTAATTGTAGCAACCATGACCTTAATGACCAAGCAAAGGAAACTAACAACGTATACTGGGGAAGGTCAGTCAGTGTCTTTTCTTTGGAGTAGGTGGTGCGTTTATTCAATTAATCACTTTTATTATAATAGCTGGCATTTATTATTTAAGATATAGTAGGCACTTGGCTAAGTGCCCTGTGTATTAACTCATTAGCCCTCATAACTCCATGAGGGAGTACCTTTATGAACCCATTTCTAGGTTGGGAATCCCAGAGTTTGAGGACTTGAAAGGAGCAAGAACCCCAGGCCCCACTGTGGACTTCCGCGCCTTGGGTCACATGAATTAGATCACACTACTGCACTGCTCATAGCCCCGCCCCCTCCTACCAGGAGTTCCTGTTCTGGCAGTGCCTTATTTTTTGGCTCTTATGTTTTCAAGTGTTTAGATGGCTTTTCTCTGGGAAGTTCCTATCCATTGAGGTCATTCTGTCACAATGATTCTCTACTGTTTCCCATGGCAGACCCTGATGATGAACCCTAAAAAAATTTCATTTCCTACTCCCCACCCCTAACTATAATAGCATAAACTCCTTTGGTTTAAATCTAAAAACTGTAGATACTTCCTTACCAATGGGGTTTCATGTACTTAACATGTTATTTAGCTAATTTAGTTTCTGATTTGGGAGGTTTTGGGAAATTTCCCTGGCAGGTGAATCTAGGCTGGATTAGAATAGGAATAGCTTGGGTAATTAGGGGCCTTTTTAAAGGCAATTTGGGATGAAAGCATAATGAACCATGGTGGAAAGTGAGGGATTTGTTCCCAGACATACTCTAACTAGAATTGGCCCCGCTCGTCATTTGGCATCTGCTAAGAACAGAATGCTGAGCTGATGAGATAGTGACACCACCTCCTGGCAGTTCTCCATGCTGTTGTGAGGAGCTGCTGTGGAAGAACAGCTAAGCTTTGTTTTTGGTTGAGGTGAATCATTAAGTCAAGTGCTGAAGAAATGACAGGAAGTGCAAAGGTAGCTGTTGTAGGTACCTTGTTGAAGGATGGTTAGTTGATATTTTCTGGGAGGTAGATCTTATATTCTGTACTTTATTTACAAATAACCAAAAGCATTGCAGTTTGTCAGCCCCTTTGGCAAAAGTGGGTAAGTTTACCTCTCATTACAGGCTCTTAATTCAGGGTACTTGGTGGCTACAAGGGGCCAGAGGATTTATAGGGATTCACCCTGTGATCTCGTCAGCAGTCCACTTTGCTCTCCTGATTAAATGACTGTTGCTTTATTCTCTAGCATTTATTGTTGGCACCATCTGATGTGGCTGGCTGGGGGATTTTCATCAAAGATCCTGTACAGAAAAATGAATTCATCTCGGAATACTGTGGAGAGGTAAGGCCAGAGCTATCCAGCTCCGGGCTTGATATGTAGTGACTTTTGTATTGATCATCACTGGGTCTGATTAGAAATGAATTAACACAAAATGCCTTTTTTGGCAACTGGACTGTTTCAGTCCTAGTCACATTTAGCCTTTATCTGGAGACAAGGGGGTAAGAACATGAGGTTTGCGATGAGTCTGTCGTACATAATCCACAGCCTCATTATTATAAGGACCTAGAAATGAATGTCATTAATCTTACGCCTTTTCAGTTATAGAGTTAGGGAAAAGTCATAGGGCTAGCTTGAGTTTGGAATCAGCCCACCTTGTTTGAGTTTTTCATTCAGTAGAAAGATTCATTAATTTCTTCAAGAGTAATTCCTTTGATGTGGAAATATTTCTGAGTTGAAGTCCTTCAAGCCCATTGTTCTTTGCCGCATGCAGACCAAAGAAACTGGCCCTAGTGACCCTTTATTGAGTTTCCTCAGGAAGGTCCGGTTCTTTCTCTTTTTTAATCTTCACTCAAGGATAATTCTTTCCATCCTTTTTTAGAGAGACACATTGATTGGTTGCCTTCCGCACTTGCCCCTACCAGGGCTGGGGAATTTACAACTGAGGTACATGCCCTTGACTGGGAATCGAACCCGAAACCCTTCTGTCCAATGCTCTAACCACTGACCCAAACTGGCCAGGGCTCCAATTCTCTTGATGAACTTGTGTGTGTGGTTTGGTCCCTAATCCAACACTGTCTTTCTTCTTAAGATAATTTCTCAAGATGAAGCCGACAGAAGAGGCAAAGTGTATGATAAATACATGTGCAGCTTTCTCTTCAACTTGAATAACGGTATGTTTAGGAGTCAGAGCACTCACAGTTTCTGGGTGGCACTTGGGAGCTGGTGTTTCTCATGCCCTGGCAGAAACTTAAAAATGGGCTGTTGCCATCACTTGTGGGGAGGAGCTGGTCATGTTCAAGGGAAGTGGTCTCGGGAACTCTGAGCTACACAAGACATTGGCTGTGGGACATCCCAGGGTCTTGAGTCAGCTGGGCACACTTCCTCCAGTTAGTGCCTCTGACCTGGGAAGGTACTGAATTTCAAAGCCTCTCCAACACTTCCTGGGTGCTCTCAAGGGACTGAGCAGCTAAACGGTGCTGCTTTCTTGGGAGGTGAGGGAGCGCTGTGATGAAAAGCAGGTGTGTAGTACCTAAGATGTTCTGATAACCCTTGGCTGAAACAGAGAGAGGGAGGTTTTGCTATGAACAGGCCCCCCAGACAGAATGAAAATTAATTTTAGATACAAAAATGCTTATCCTTGAGGTTGAGAAGAATTTAGATTCCTTTTATTTTTTTGCAGGGTTTTGCTCAGTAATACATATTTACAGTTAGGTAATAACATTTGAGAGACAACTCCTGAATTATCAATTCATTTTACCTAGAACAGTATTTTCTTGCAAATGTCATTTGGACGAAGTTGGCTGAATGATTTACTTGCTTTTGAAGGCAAACCCTGAAGACCTAACCAATTGTATTTCCAGAATCATAGGAACTTTGTGTTTATTGATCTAAAACTAAAATTGTTCACTGCATTGTGCTTATTTTTTCTTTAGATTTTGTGGTGGACGCAACCCGTAAGGGTAACAAAATTCGTTTTGCAAATCATTCAGTCAATCCAAACTGCTATGCAAAAGGTAGGTGTTTCTGGAGTCAGAATTCCTGTTCTGATGCCAGGACCCCCAGTGATAGTGATGCACGGCTTGGAGAGATTTCCTGTGTGACTGTCCCTTCCCTGGCTGACACCAGCGTGTCTCTTTCTAGTCATGATGGTGAACGGCGATCACAGGATAGGGATCTTTGCGAAGAGAGCCATCCAGACTGGTGAAGAGCTGTTTTTTGATTACAGGTTAGTAACAGTGCATTTCTGTTGTGACCTGAGGGCTTTCTCCTGGACTCGGGACAGAGGCTGACTCTCTGCTCTTGCTGGGTCTTATGTTGTTGGAGCGTCTAATCTTAGGTCATTCTTTGCCTTGGGTATTGGTGGGAAGTTAGGATGTAGTTTCCATTATACAAGCACTGGTTATTTTAAAGATAGAATGAAAAGAATGTAGAAAGCCCCATTTTTTTACCTTGCTGGTAGGAGCTGGGTGTGATCATGATGCAGTCAGCGTTGCTGTCCTTGAGGATATGCTCGGGTTGTCTTAAATTGTCCAGTGCAGGAGGACTGTTGGCCAATAACCTACCTGGCTCACCCTCAGATGGTGTTCACAGGTCTGGTATCAGGTTGGCCGTTTACACTGTTAGGCTCTGTGGGATAAACTGACAAGCTATTTAAAACTTTCCTGAATGTAGTCAGATGACTGTCTAGTTCAATCCAGTGGCTGAATATACGTCCCAGTCAGAAGCTCCGTCTCTGAGTCCTGAGTTGTCATAAACTAGGGCCCGTGTGTTGTCACTTTGAAGGTACGACCCAAAGCAGGTGGGACAGCGCCCGAGGACACACTGTGCTGGAGTGGGAGGACGCGGTGAATGAGGCGCAGCTGGGTGTCACTGGATGTGTGTGCCTTTCTCTGCACCCACTGAAGTAAGTGGGTGGTTGTGTTCATTCTCACCTCGGTGGGCCGCGGTCATGCCTGTCTCCTGCCGTTTCAGATACAGCCAGGCCGACGCCCTGAAGTACGTGGGCATCGAACGTGAGATGGAGATCCCTTGACGTCTGCTACCTCCTCCCCGCCTCCTCCAAAACAGCTGCCTTAGCTTCAGGAACCTCGAGTACTGTGGGCAATTTAGAAAAAGAAAATGCAGTTTGAAATTCTGAATTTGCAATGTACTGTAAGAATAATTTAATAGTAATGAGTTTAGACGTCAACTTTTTATGCCTTCTCACCAGCTGCAAAGTGTTTTGTACCAGCAAGTTTTTGCAATAATGCAGTATGGTACATTTTTCAACTTTGAATAAATAATACTTGAACTTCTCCCCACTGTTGGCATTTATCAGGGAGCTTCAGCTGATTTTAGAAAAGGACTGCATCCAAGGGAAAACAAACTCTCACATTTAACACCTTTGGTTTTGTCTAGTAGCATTAATTTGCTTAGTTATAACATATTAAATACAGGGGTGGGCAAAAGTAGGTTTATAGTTGTGAGTTTATTCTTGTATTATTTGTACTACAACTGTATGAACCTACCTTTGCCCACCCCTGTATAAATGTAATAGAAACATGACTTTTATTATCTACCTATAATATTGTATATACTTTGCCTAGTTATACTAAATATTGCCTATTAATAACTAAATGAATTAACACTACTTGCATCCTGAGATAGGGGCTCATATCCCAGTCAGCCGGGTGGTCTGGAGAGCTACCTCTAAGCCTCGTTCTCTGCATATAAAACAACAGTGTTGGCTTAGGTGAGTTCCAAGAACCTGTTTTGTTCTAAGGTCCTTTAGACAATCCTTTAGAAATGCAGCAGTGTGACAAGATTCCTTACCTACCCACGAAAGAGGATGCTATAATCAAACTAGTTTTCAAGGAAACCTTGCGGGTTCAGTGATAGCATTCCAGCCCCTCCCAAGATACACTGACCAATACTGTGGATAACTCTAAAAACGGCTCCAGTCAGTCTGTGTAGTTGGCCTTTTCTATAGTTAAGACAAAATTACTGATTTATAACGTGAAATTAATTTAAAACTTACTAATTATACAAATACTGATAAGACTGGTTTCTGTTGCATCAATCAATGCACAAGCTATAGCAACAAGAGTCCTAAAATAAAGTTAATTTGCCACTTAGCTTTGGCAGTGAAAAGATCTGGCTTTACGTGCTAGTCTCCTATGGGTTACCCTTAGCTCTGCCACGCTTAACTATCCCCAGGAAACAGTGCCGCATGCTCAGTTGGCTGTTGCTGATGGAGTCACTTAGGAAAACTCTCAGGCTTGCCCTGGGTGCCCACGCTCCAACCTGGGCACTCAGCATGAGTGCAGCCCATTTGTGCACTAGCACATGTGAGCCTGCTCAGGAGACATCCTGAGATTGCTCACCCCAGGGGTATCTATCAACAGGGCTCTCATTCTAGCCAACACTTTCCCATTGTTCACACCTCCCAACGCATCCCCAGGTGCAAACAACTGGGTGGTGGAACCTTGAGTCTAGGGAGGTTCTGCTCACCACAGACCCAAATGCAGCATAAAGATAAAGCAGTAATTCTTCATACACAGCAAGTTTTTAGAACCTTCATGAAGACCGATGTTCTCACCTGTTCACTATAGCCCATGTGATGAGCATCTATAGCAGAGTTGGTCAACTTCAGACTTTATACAGGGGTTTGGGGGGAGAGGGGGGCACAGATAAATAACAGTATGCTTCCCCCCCATTACTGTAGACCAATTCTCAACCTTTTTCACCTCATGGCACACACACACAAATACATATTTTTTGCTGATCTGACAAAATAGGTTATAATTTTGATTCATACCTGACAGCTATTGTATTGGCAGTTGTCATTTTATTTGACAATCTAAGGGAAAAGAGGTCAGTGCCCTTGTGGCACACCAGTTGAAAATCATCGCTCCTGTAGTCTATGTGTGTTTATTTCCCTACCAGAGGAATACAGAAGTAAGAGTATAACAAGTATTGTGTCAGAATACAGGTATTTTAAATAGTTTCCGAACAGTTTAAGAATATTACACATTGTTCTCTACCCCGAGCTTTCACCTAATGGTCATAACCTCATGAAGCCCTGGCTGGGTCAGGTTCAGTTGGTGAGAGCATGGTCCCAAGGTGCCAGGGTTGTGAGGTTTAATCCCTGGTCGGGGCACATAATGAGAAATAACCAATGAATGCATAAGTGGAACAACAAATCGATGTCTCTCTCTACCTCCTCCCTGCTCTAAAAATGGATAAATTAAAAAAAAAGGGGAGGGGGTCTGTAATACTTGCAACAATAAAGATTTAAAAAAACACCTTACGAAGATGACCCACAGCTACAGTCCTGACCCCAAGTCTAGGCAGCACCTCACCCACAAACTTCTTCACAATTCTTTTCAATCAATATTTTGTAATTTATATATCAACCCATTGCGGATCAGTAGTTTTACTGCTAGCTTTACCCAGTGGCCAGGTAAGTTTCTATTGAACGAGTACAAAAAACGTTTTACATAAATGTTAAAGGCATGCTTTAAAATTAAATACCCATTGCATTTTGAAGTTAGTTATTACAAGAAAGTCTTTGTATCTTACTTGGCTTTCTGGATTGAGTGCTTGATAAATCCTGAATGAATTGAATAGTTCACAATCAGGTAAAGCACTACTTTCTTCATCCATTTTATTGTTTTTTCTAAGGATACTACATGTTGAAAGATATTGGTCGGCAAGATCAACACCTTGCATATAATATTACACTGAACAGTGGAAACTGGCTTATTTCCTCTCCAGTATGCCAATTTGTCTTTTCTGTTTCACAAGAGGAAGCATCATGGATAGTTGAAATAATTCGAACTTCTCTTTCATCCTTCCAAATCAATAAAACATCACCTTTTCTTCGGAAGGCTATTTTCACCTCTTTTAAGTGTAGATGCTTCATCTTTCAAACATTTTGGCAAGCCTCTATTTGTTCGAATTGTTCCACAAACTCTTGTTTTATGTAGTAATAAAGTTTCTGCAATTGAAATGCTATTGTAATAGTTATCTTGGTATATGTGATGCCCCAATTCCAGATACAGCCGAAGTAGTGACAGAATAGTCATTCAATTTTTTTCCTTCACCTGTGTAAATTTCCATATTGCAAATATACCCAGTCTTGATCTCACAAGTAAACCATACTTAATAATTTTAGCTAGGTTTTAAGTTCAAAATAGAAGACATCCCCTCCAGGGAATCATGCCTTCATCTAATGATAATTCTCACATAGGTTTATATATTGTTTGAAATTTACTAATAAAGTGGTTGAGTACAGATTGAATTTTAAATAGCCTGGATGAAGGTTTAGTCATGTTTGCATTATCATTGAAATGCCAATAAGTAGATTTGTTCAAAACGATTTCGACTTAACTGTCTGAGGAAATACTGGAACGGCTAGAACTGGATTTATAGACCAATATTCTTTCCAAGTATCCTTTTGAGTACACCCCATTAGCACTATCAGTCCTAAAATTTTTTTCATATCTGTTGGAGTAACAGGAGACCACTTTGTTGCTTTCGAAATTTTGTGCTTTCCCAAATTTTGGTTGTAATATATGTTCGATTGATGACAAAATAGTTCAAACAGATCGTCAAAAACCAAGTTGGGGATTTCAATGATGTTCTTAGAATCAGACGGTATAACTGTAACCCTAGAATTACCTTCAAGTTTTTCCAAATTAGGTTGAAAGTCCTCTTTTGACCAATCATCTTGGCAACCAAGACACAAATTACACTCAAAATCGTGTGGAATTGTTCAAATTTTCAGGTTTGGAATCACTTGAAATTACTATTTTTCGCCTTTTTGAAGGAATAACTATATCACTGCCACTGTCAAAGCTTTCATCACTTTCACTTGGAATATCTGATAAATTGTCAGCAAAGATGCATAATTTTATAAAAACATCAAATTAATATAAGTTTTTATTACTAAGGACAAGAGACTAATCACTTTTAATTCTTTTGTAATTTTTAACTCCAGTGAATGAGTTTTCCGTTACACTGTTTCTCAATGACAATAGAACAGAAACCACGAGAATTCTCGTGATCCATCTGCAATGTGGATAGTCTACCCAGAAACTGCTGCTTAATTACTTTTCAATATTTTTTGGTTCATTCGGTCTCCAGCCTCCCCTACATCCATTCAGTGACCCAAAAATCTTAATTCCACCTGAGTCCAGGTATGTAATAGCTGCCCCCACCCTGTAAAAGTTAAGTTGTATTATGTAGATGGGTCATCAAGAAAGGGTCTGACTTTGTGAACTGTTTTTTGTTTTGTTTTTTTAAACTCCTCACAGGATTTTTTTCCATCGATTTTTAGAGAGTGGAAGGGAGGAAGAAGGGGGGGGGGGCATTGATGTGAGAGACATATATGGATTGGGTGCCTCCTGTATGAGCCCCAACCAGGTATTAAACCTGGAACCCAGGTATATGGCCCTTGATGGGGAATTGAACCTGTGACCTTTTGGTGCATGCTGATACTCTAATCACTGAACCACACCAGCCAGGGCCAAATTGTGAACTTTTTGAGAACCTAAGTATTCTTTTGAAAGTTGTCTGAGCTTTGGGCTCCTGTTGGATTAGCTGAAATACATGCTTGCTATTCCCTCAGCCCCTTGTCAGAAACGACCCAAGTATGAACCATGGTTTAAAAGAAACCTCACCTCGACAATTGCCACTTGGTCTGCCACTGGAGAACGGAAAAGATCTCGTTTCCGTTCTAGGTGTGTAAACCACCATCAGTGGAGTTACTGTGATTCCTGGAAGAAAAGTCGTCTTCAGAAGCAGGATTCAGTTCAAAACATCTGAGTTTTCACCTGTGTGTGGTAAAATCTTGTTTTTCCAAGGAATTAGATACCAACGTTCACCAAGGAGATTTGGTCATCTTAAAAGTGCTGTCAATAAAAACCCTTTAAATTTAGGTGCCTCATTCCTGAATCAACTGTTCCCCCTGTTACTGAGCCTGTACTCCAGTGACCTGGGTTTGTGTTTTGAGGCTCTTGACCATCCTTGTTAGGCGAGGATATGGTTTGGGGAATAAAGTGAAAAAAGTTCAAGTTTCTCCCTGCACCCCCCCCCCCCCCGCCCCCCGCCCGCACCCAATTTACCTACCGTGAGTGTGCAGGTACAGGTATGGAATTTGAGGATGTGGGGTAACCACCTCCTAGCCCATCCCTGTCCTTTGCTTCCTGTTCTTAGCCAAGGTACTCACCCCAGGGCACTCCTGATCCTAGAGCAGCAGTTCTTAACCTATGGGTCGCGACCCCTTTGGAGGTCGAACGACCCTTTCACAAGGGTAGCCTAAGACCATCGGAAAACACATATATAATTACATATTGTTTTTGTGATTAATCACTATGCTTTAATTATGTTCAATTTGTAACAATGAAAATACATCCAACATATCAGATATTTACATTACGATTCATAACAGTAGCAAAATTACAGTTATGAAGTAGCAACAAAAATAATGTTATGGTTGGGGGTCACCACAACATGAGGAACTGTATTAAAGGGTCGTGGCATTAGGAAGGTTGAGAACCACTGTCCTAGAGCAGTGATGGCGAACCTTTTGAGCTCGGCATGTCAGCATTTTGAAAAACCCTAACTTAACTCTGGTGCCGTGTCACATATAGAAATTTTTTGATATTTGCAACCATAGTAAAACAAAGACTTATCTTTCTGATATTTATTTTATATATTTAAATGTCATTTAACAAAAAAAATCAACCAAAAAAATGAGTTCGCGTGCCACTTCTGACACGCATGTCATAGGTTCACCATCACTGTCCTAGAGGAACTCGACACACACTAGCAATGGGGTTTAAAATGGGTTCTGAGACTCCTGGGTGTGTCTCCCAGAGGCCAATAAAGTAACTGCAGCTTTGGGCTTGGTTCCCAGGTGGACAGTCTTGGGGCCTGGATCTTTATGATGTGGGGTAGGAGGGGCAAGTCCCCTGGGTGGTCCTGGTTTATACTGGGAATCACTTGAAAAATATACTAAATAAATGTGGAAACCATTATATAAATGCTTAATCTTATTACTATTACTTTTTATAACCTGTAACGTTTTTGACCTTTAACTTTTAAAACTAACCTGAATGTGCCAGATTATTCTAAGAAACTCTTAAGAACCTAACTTTTGCATATTCCTTTGGCTATGCCTTGTACGTTTATAACCAACTCCATTATAGGTCTACTTTGGTAAGTATGTTCAAGTCCTCACATCCTTAAGAAACCTGTGAGGTTTAGGAAGAAAACAAACCTACAGAAGCCGAGCAGCAGAGCCATACCTTCCCAGAAGGTCTTGCTACCACTTCCATTTTTTTCTGTCCTCTGGTTAGGAAACGAATGGTGGGACAAGTCAACCGTGGGACTGACTGTGGACAAAGAACAAAGGAGTTAAGAGGATGCGCAGGCTGGAACCGAGGCTCCCAATGCTGGGAGCTGATCTCTGGGGGACACAGCTGAGAACATGCCAACTTACCAGCAGGTGCCAGAAAGCTGTAGCTTGCCAGCTGGTCTCTGGTCCTGCTGTCAGGGGCTCCTCAGTCAAGGACAGAGAGGACTCATGCCCCCCTTGCTGGGATCTTGGGAATTTTCCCAGGAGCAGCCCGAGTTCATCTGGAACTGTGGCTTCTTATATTTAAACAACTGGATCGAACCAGAATGAAGGAGCCACCGGGCTGTATTGCACCTCCAAGTCTGACACTTGTTCACTGGTTGTACATCACTCACTCACTCCCAGCTCGTCTACTCACTGTGACAAGTTCCCTCTTCTCAGTTTCCCCACCTGTTTCTCAGGTCAGGTGGTCAAAGGATTAACCCCTTCATCCTTACAAGTGGCAGATGGAATCAACATGTCATTGAATCTCATAGGCCACATTCACGTCACCAGAAGAAGTCACAGAAATGAGCATCCATGTTTGAAAAAAAGTTACAAGAAGTCTTGAGGGCTTAAAATGCTAAGATCTAGAGCGGTGATGGCGAACCTATGACACGTGTGTCAGAGGTGACACGCAAACTCATTTTTTTGGTTGATTTTTCTTTGTTAAATGGCATTTAAATATATAAAATAAATATCAAAAAGATAAGTCTTTGTTTTACTATGGTTGCAAATATCAAAAAATTTCTATATGTGACACGGCACCAGAGTTAAGTTAGGGTTTTTCAAAATGCTGACATGCCGAGCTCAAAAGGTTCGCCATCACTGATCCAGAGAATGCAGCCTGTATCACTGGGGATGTAAATTTTCACAATCATTGTATCTCTCACTTACATGTAGGAAATAGTAAAACTGAAAACAAAACCAAATGCAACTTGTACAGAAATCCTTTAATTTTCTTTATTTCACACATTAAAAAATGAAACACACTATACAAATGGTTTTCAGAGCAGATTACACGCGGGTCCATTCAGACTCCTCTCAAAGTGTGGCCGACACTCAGTGCTGCCGAGACGGAGGCAGCTGTTAGCACGTAGCCGATGTATTGATCTAGATGCAGTAGCATGCAGCCCTCAGCATGACGGTTCATTCCCCTCTGTTCTTAAATTAGGTTAAATGGCGTCGGTGTCCATATTTACAGACTTGAAATGTATCGATCCTGAGCAGTTCTGATGTACATCTGAGACCGGCTGCTGGGAGTCTTGGTCTCAGTTTAAAAAGGGAGGCCAGTGGTGCAGGCGGCTGCTAGGAACTGGTCGTCATCCTGCCCACCAGGAACATTGGCCGCGGTGGCACAGTCAGACCCTCTACAAGGGTTAAGCCAAGTAACTGTAGGTGTCCTTTTCACCATCAACTCGCTCCAAATATTCTTTCTCGATCAGAATGTCAATGCATTTCTGGGTGTTATTTGAAAAAGGAAGAGGTAGTGGAGAAAAACACATTTATTAGCAGAATAGTGACAGGCACCCTCACCATGGATCCCCTACCTCTGAGAGCTCAGCAGGGAGCACAGTCACCTCATATATCCCTCCAGTGTAGCCAAGCCCTTGCCTTCCTGAATGGAGTCCCCTCAGCGTCAGCCCAGAAGCCACGCATGCCCATACCTGAACTGGGTCAGGTGCTACAGAAGCCAGTTGGGCCACAATCGCCCTTTGCACCAGCAGGGAACAAAGTCATGGGATGTCCTGAACAAACTGGCTCCTGGGCTGGCTCTGAATGCAACCCCAGGACCCATCCTGGGCCCCCTGGCTGTGGGTAGTCGCCTGTTAACTGTGCTATCTGCACTGGCTGTTCTTTCTATTTTAAACAACTCAGCCAGAAATGAGCTGAATGGTGCTCATAGAGGAGTCCCCACATAGCAACAGAGATTAACACACACTGATATATGCTACACCAGAGACCGAGTCTCCCTAACGTGATGGGGACACAGGACAGCGGGAACTCCATTCTAGAGAGCTCAGTGCTGGTGTTAGCAGTGAGGATGGTGAGCCTATGGGGCTCTGGCGGGCTGGTCACTGCCTCACTTGAGCTGGTGTTGGTGGTACAACCAGCTAGCTGAGCACTTATGTCTGACTTCTCTCTCTGCATTCCAATGGAAGCTTAAAAATTAAGCCCATTTTCTTTTGTAGAAATTTGCATATGAATAACCAAGTTTCTTCTTTAGGAAACACTCAATGACCTGCTCTTAGTTCCATCTTTTCTAAACCAACTGCCTCTGCTATGCAATTCCTGTACCTTGATGACCGGGACCCGTGGCTTGAACCGTGAGGACAGCTGAGTGAGCACCTCCCCAAGCAGCTGCTGGTGCTTCAGGACCTTCCGCATCTTCATGATCCTCACAATCGCTGCCTGCAGAACAGAGCAGGGGAAATGACAACTTAGCCTCAGTAATTCTGAAGGACAAGGAAGCCCCCGAAGCTGTGTCTAGGCATGGGATGGACCCGGGCCTAACAGGCAGCAAACACTGCAGGTGAGCTGGCAGGGACTTATGTCTACCTACGTTTGGTCTTATGAGCAATTATAATAACTTAATCCAACTATAAAAGCATTTAAAAAATGAGAAAATTCAGTCTTCAAGCCACAGGAGCTGCCTAACCCCTCCATTAAACAGTCTCCTTCCCTCCTATTCAAACCACATTTATTTGCTGGTATTTCATCGACCCCACCCAGAAGCATTTATCACCCTGAAGCTACCGACAAGTCACAGCCAAGCAGACTGGACGAAGCCCCTCCCCCGAGAGACACCGCCAAGGTGCGTGCAGCAGTCACCTGGATCAGCAGTTTCCGGTCCTCTTCAATATTTTTGTGTGTAGTTTCTTGTTCCTGCTTCTGTTCGGTTTTCATTGGCACATTGATGTTAACCCTTAATTTCTTACTGTCAAGAAAATCAAGGAAACAATCACTATTATTTGAAAAGGCAGGCAGTCCAGGTTTCTCTTTCCAACTGCTCCCCAGACAGGGGCTGAGAGGTGACCTGGAAGCTCCCACCCTGAGCTCTGCAAACAAGCCCTCAACCAAATACCAAGTGGTTCTACCACTGGTCACGGGACACCTGTACACCAGGTATTCAGTTCCTTCACTGTTCTCCCAACTGTGTCAGGAGAAATAAAATCAGGACACTTGGACACAAAGGTCCAAACTTCTAAATGAGCTCTTTAAGGAGGCTTATTTGCCAAATGAAAACAAAAACCAAAACGAGTTAAATGGAGAAACACCTGGAATTATCAAATGCCATCAAACTCCCACCCCTGCCCATCTAGCCTCACTGAGCTCACCCCCCCCATCCCGAACCCCCATTTGTAGTGACAGCAGTTAATGTGCTGGGGTCAGGGGACTAGGCTATGGTCTAGGACCATCTAATCAGATTTCCTTACTTTTTATAACCAAGATATAATTTTATTAAGGTATCTGGCTTCAATTCCACCTCATCAACATTTGCATTTTCATCTTCCAAGACCTACAAGAAAATAGATGTTACTACATAATCTCAGAAAAAGGCTTTTTCTAGCTTAACATTAAAAAGTGCACAAACATACCAATAACTTCGACTTCAATAAAATCTGTAGGACTTGTGCCAAAATGTCCTGCAATTAGAGAAAAAGGGGTAATAACTTAAAGAGAAAATACATCTTTCTTTGCAATAAAAGCCATACATACACGAGTCACCTAAACTGACAAATATACTCAGAAGGAAAAGAGAGAGAGATGGTGCTTTTGGAGGTTCCCTAAATCCACTATGTCCCCCAGCACCTGCGTCTAAAAGTGACATCAACACCTTTTTAGCCTTGATGACCCAATGATGAAAACTGATGATTCTGTTACACTTAACTACCAGAGACCACGCATAACTGATTCCTTAATTAACTCAACAGAAACCTGTCCACTTAAATACACGGCAGCTCCTCTTGGACACTGATGCCTGAAGAAACACCAGAGCATTCCAGCAGGGCAGGAAACACTCTGTCCTCGGACACAGGGTGGCAACCTGCTGTCCACTAGCCTCTAAGCACGTGTAGCCCCTGGGCCATCTCCTCGACCTTGAACAGTGGTTGGTTGGGCACTTCATCCTTAGCTTCACAGCTTCATGCTCCCCTGAAATAAGATGCAGGCCAGCCGACCTGCACTGTGACTCAGATTCCTACACACCTACCCCTTCCCACCAAGCATGAACAGAAAGGGCCTGCCCTCACCTTCCTGGGCACCATCTGGTCAGAGGCACAGGGCTAAGCTGTCAAAGTGACAGGCCTCTAGGCCAGTCACCTGCCTGGAATCCCAGAGCAGCACTGGAACACGGCCGCCATGTCGAGCAGGCGTAACAGGTTCACATCATGAGCCAAATCTGACTGAGCAACGAGTGTCCACCGTGGGCGGGAGGAGAGCAGCCACACCCCCGCAGGGAGGCAGCTCCACCACTAAACATTAGCCGAGACCCTGGCATAGAATAACCCAAAGGATGTGTCAGCCTGAAAGCAGGTACCAGGGCGCAAGCCCTCCCAAGTCAGGGGGCAACCTACCTTCCACTCTGGCTTCAGGCTCCTTCTGACGTAAGGAGAAATGAGAAAAGACTCTTAAGTGCAAAGAAGCAAACTCATTTTGTCATTAGAATTTCAAGATGTATTTTGGACCATGTTGGAAGCCTAATTCCCATTGTACGAAGCCAGACAAAAATGTAGCAAGAAAACAACAAACCAACATACCTTATGAATATGGATGCCAAAAATCTGCAAGAAAATTCCAGTACACCAAACCCAGCAGAATATAAAAGGTACTATATGCCATCACCATGTGGCATTTATTCCAAGAATGAACAGTGGTTCAACACAAGACAGTTATCTCACCAGAGCAGGAAAAGCATTTTAACAAAATCCGACACTCTTTCATGATAAAAACACTGAACAAACTAAGAACAGAAGGGAACTCCTGCAATCTAATGAAGGGCATATAAGAAAAGCCCATAACTAATACTGTACTTAACAATGAAACTGCTAACACTTTCCCCCAAGATCAGGAACAAGACAAGGATGCCACTTCTATCCAACAATGTACTAGAAATTCTACACAGCAGTCAGGGAAGAGGAAGGGGGAAGAAGGGCGTACAAATAAAAAAAGGGAGAAGCACAACTACTTGCCGTTGTGGATGATGATTGTATATATATTGTTCTTATTTATTTATTTTTATATATTTTTTAAAAATATATTTTTTATTGATTTTTTACAGAGAGGAAGGGAGAAGGATAGAGAGTTAGAAACATCGATGAGAGAGAAACATCGATCAGCTGCCTCCTGCACACCTCCTACTGGGGATGTGCCCGCAACCAAGGTACATGCCCTTGACTGGAATCGAACCTGGGACCTTTCAGTCCGCAGGCCGACGTTCTATCTACTGAGCCAAACCAGTCAGGGCTATTTATTTATTATTAAATATGTAATTTTTTATTTATGTCATGTATTTATGTGCATGTTTATGTTACACTAAGTTTAAAAGAGGTTCTATGGAAAGTAACCTCACAAGGTGGTCTGATCATAAATCCCTAACTGATCAGGTCATGGTGGGTAGTCACACTCCAGGCCTATAACTTTAGTGCAAGGTTTTAAGACAGCCCTGCCCACTGTTCTTGTGCATCTAGGTTAACACACCTTTGAGTTGCCAGAGTGATACCCTTGGAAGGGGGTATTAACCCGCAAGAGAGCACATAATCTTGTTGACTATCCTGTAATCCAATTTCCACCTCTCTTTCTCCAATCTGGTCCCTTCCTTAATTTCGAATGCATAAAAGAAGCTGCAAAACTTATTCTCGCCCTGACCGGTTTGGCTCAGTGGACAGGGAGTTGGTCTGTGGGCTCAAGGGTCCCAGGTTCAATTCCGGTC